TTAAAACGAAATTTTGGTGTAATAATAATTTGTTACAGAGGAATAAAAGTATATCGTTTTAAAATATTTTGTTTTTCTTTTTTTTTCATTCTCCTTTTGCAAGCAACTGAAAAATATTTGATATATTTTAGTTGCTTGAAAAAGGAGAATATTTTTTTAATTACATCGCTATTGAGAAGCAAGTAGGCGATTTAAATAAAATCCGAAAAATCAAAGTTGCATTTTTGTAGGTACTTCTTGCTTCTTCAACTTTTTTTTGGTTTTATCCTACCTACAGCAGTACCTGTATATCTATGGAACGAGACATGGAATAGAGCTATTGTATCGCAAATATTCATAAGATACATGATTACGTTAAATGCCGTGTGGTCTATCAATAGCATTGCTCATGTGTGGGGTACTAAGCCATACGATAAGTGCGTAATTTGAATGTGTAATCACGATATAATTTAGAATTTATATTTTTACTATATTTATACTATATTTATATATTTACTATATTTATATTTTTAGTTGAGTAATAAAAATTCTTATTATATGCGGAGAAAAATGTATAATAAATTTTCATAATTTTCATAAATTTTCATAATTTTAATGAATTTATTCCGCTACCAGTAGGTATACTAGGCGGGTTCTAACTCGGGCCCTCTGAAGGGAGCGCGGGGTGCGGGGGATACTCGTAGGCGAGGGGAAGCTTTCTCGCAGGCTGCTTAGCTTCCCCCCTCCTTCGGGGGGAGATAGTCACGCTGATTGGTTTCCGCGTGTCACGGTATTCGCGCGTGCCGTGCAGGCCCTCGCGGCCTTGAGTCCTGGCTTGTATGAGCGCGAAATATATGTCCCTGTCAAGGGTGGCGTCTCTGCTCACGGCCCCCGCACCTCCTGGCCTGGCGGAGGAGATCGGGATTGATTTCCCTCTCGCTCCTCGTCGGAGCCATATGCTCCCGACGGACGTCCGTCCGGCCCCTCAAGGGTGGCCGGGAATTCTGGCCTCCTCCGGTGCTCTGCAAGGGGTGCATAGTGAAAGTATGATTCCTTTCGTACGCGACAGCGGTTACGAGCAATGATATAAAATAATACAACCTGCTTATCCGGGCTCCCGGATGGGTGTCCTTCTCTCTTAGCTTCTTCGGCCTTCCTTCCAATCCTGTCCTTCTTCCAAGGGTGGCGGGCGAGACGGCACGACGATAC